GAGGGGTACAGCCAGGTCCTCTCCCACCAGGAATGAGCAAGGGGCTCTGCACAGTCACCGAGCAGCACCGATGGAGAAGCAGGAGGGACCTGCTAAAGAAAACCTGCCACTGCCCAGCAAATTACTCAAATCCCTTAGCCCTAGGAAATCTCATTAAAGAAATCCACACCTGAGGAACACATTTCTAAAGGAAGAAGCTGCCTTTGCTGCTCAGAGCACAAGCCAGGGCCATGAGCACACTGCCTTTCAGGAGAGGTTCACGTGGAGATGCCGCCTTTGCAGGCTGCAACCAGGGAAAAAAAAAAGCCTTGTTAGAGAAGGCAGGATCACGAGAGGCACCCGGACATCAGGTCAGGGGCAATCAGGCAAGGAATTTTCTGGAAGATTTCTCTTGTGGTGCAGCTTCATTAGCAAGTAGGGCAGTGGTTTTATTCATGCTTCCCTGGAGCAGAAGCGTTCTCAGGGAAGGCGGTTGTTGCCTGAGCAGCCCCCAGCTCACAGCTCGGAGACAGGAGAGCTCACTCCACTGACGCACATTGTTTCAGGGCCCTGTTCAAGAGCTTTTAATCCTTCCACTGATGCCACTTATAGTTTTAATCAGCTCAAATGTTCATTCGCATCAGCAGGATATGAAGCAGCAGCCCATGGAGTGCTCAGCCAGCACCTAAGGAAGATGACACTAATGCGTGGGTCATGGCAGAGATGGGGGTGGCAATGGGGTCTGCATGGTACTGGGCACAGGGGAGGGAGAGATAACCCAGCACCTTCTCCTGTTAATCACATTATCTGCCCCTGCCTGGGAACACGGGGTAAAAGGGAAGGGGCTGAGAACCTGCTTTATCTCCCCTAAGTCCTTCCTCGTGCTCTGTATGTGTATTTGTGACGTGCTCCCTTGGGAGCATCCTTAAATCCAACCACAGCCACCTCCCACAGGAGGGAGAGCAGGGTGACAGTGAGCAAACAAAACCACTAGCACATCGGGCTAGAGGTGACATGATCCACTTCATCCTCAGGGCTCTGCTGCTCCCCAGAAAGGTGGCACTTCTCCACAGGGTGACCCTGCAAGGTGGCACCTGCTGCTAAGGCCAAGAAGAGGAACTGACCTTTCTTCTACTGTCCCATGGCTTGTTTTGGCCAGGCCAAAATTTACACAATAAACTGAAAGTAGCCTGAAGTAAAACCCAACATTAGTTCAGAGATGAAAACACTATCCTTGACTTTTTCTTGACTTGCTTAGCTACCTGTTCCAGGCCAGCAGGGTCACAGCACTTTTACTACTTGGCAAAATTCTTGTTGAGTGACACTAACAGGCAAGACCTAACTCGATCCAGCTCTGCTTACCAACAGCTCATAGAGACACTGCTGATGTGCATCCAGTCCTGCCCTCCAGGTCTGAAATTTCACAGGGTAGCAGTTTCTCAGTGGTGCTCAAGAGCAGCTGGGCACAGCACCAGGGCACAGCACCAGGAGCTCTCACAGGGCACAAACACGTCAGGCAGAGAGAGCAGATGAGCTTGTTCAGCATCAGCTCCCCTTGCAGTTTGAAAATGCAGGGGAGAACAATGCAAGTACAAACAGCTATTTCCAGCTGAAACTGGAATGATCAAAACCGGTGACAGAGGAGGAGTGCTGGAGTGACCCAGGCTGGCCTCAGCTGTCAGACACCCTCCTGCTACAGTCTGCACCACGTCACATGCACAGATTTGTGCCCTTCACCTTCAGCATCCATCCCAAAACCAGACCTACTCTTTAATCCACAGTGAAAATATCATGGAATATGATGTACCAGAACAAGTTGCCTTCTACACTGAGCACAACCACTGCAGTTTGATGTCCTGTATGAATTAAAAGCTAGTTGGGTGATACTGCCACTTGCTCCCCTTGTTTCTGTGGCCAAGGCCACTAGTGCCACTGCAGTGAACACCAAGAGCCACTCCACTCAAGAAGGAGAAGAGGGGCCTCAACCTTCGACAAGGATGGGTGAAATACTCCTCAGAGTGGGTGCAGCCAGGGTGCTGGGCCATGACATTGCAATCAAGAGACTATTAGCAGGTACCCAGCACCACCCAGCCACTCCCCCTTGTACTGGAAAGGCTTTTGTCCTCTTTGCCCAGAAGGCTTGCTTTTGGGAACAGCAATCCCAGGCTTCAGATAAAATCCCACAGAAGACAGGAAAACACAGTTAAGTAAGAAAGAGAAGACCCAGGGAAATGCTGCCCAGCTCTGCTGCACTTACCACCTCAGGGCCACCAGCAGCAAGGAGATAAACAGGCTCCTCTCCATCCCAAACACTCTGGTGTCCAGCAGAAACTGAACCAGAAACAAGTTTCCTGGCTGAGAACTGACATCTAAGTACCTGCATTTTGGCTGGATAACAGAGCAGGAAGCCCAGGTGTGTGCAAAGCTGCTGGGACATGAAGCAAGATCAGAAGTCAGCAGCATGCAAAAGAAAAAGCAAAAATCTCATAGCCTGAGTCAGGGAGAGTTACAGTTTTCCAGTTTATGACATAAACTGAGGCTGAGCAGGGTCTGAAGCTGACCCAGGGAAGAACTCACTGCATGGCCCAGCAGCACATACACACCAGTGCCACAACCAAGTTGGAAGAGGTTACTTGAGTTTCTCGGCCAACTTAAATTACCTGAGAGCAGAATTCAGGCCCTGCTCTAAATCCCATTTTAAGCTCCTCAGGAGGGTTTCCGATTGAAGGTTTGCATTTAGCAACAGCCAGAGGGAGGCTGGTTTGAATGCACAAACACACAACGCATTGGAAGAACCCGATAGGAAAACCCACCAGACCTACTGCTGTCCCCCAAAAGAAGGCAGAGGAAGGCACAACAGCTCTGGATTCGTGGTGAACATATGGCCAGAGCTGGGCTTTAAGCTGGCACACTCTGTATGCCAGCCTGTTATGCAAGTGCATCCATCTCACTGTCAGGACACAGCGATGGGTGCAGACTCACCGCTGCGGATGGAGAGGGAAGGGGAGGGGGCTGGGGGTGCAGAAGGCAGCTGGGTTTTATGCAAACAGCCCTGGGGTAGGACTGTCCCCTCGGTGTTTGTTATCCCTGCAGATCTGCGCGGGATGAATGCTCCCCGGAGGCCAGGGGCCGGTTGCATAACTCGGCAGCATCGAGTCAGCACAGATGGCAGCACAGCCCGACCCTGGCCAGGGCAGCAGAGCTGCTCCCCAACCCGGCAGGAGCCCCACACCCCACCCCGGGGCACCAGCTGGGGTGTCCTGCTCCTGCCCCCGGGCTCCATCACACCCATCTTAAGGGCTCACATTCCTGCAGATTCACTCTTCCCTCCCCCCCACCCTAATCCCCAGCCCACACTGGCACTGGGACCAGCACACCCAGCCCCAGCCCCAGGCAGGGTCCATTATTTGTGCTGGAGATCTTAAGGGTGCTAAATATTTCGTGCCAGGGTGCGGAGGGGCCGGGTCTGTGGATCAGTTTAGACAAACCAGCAGTGACAGAACTAGACTTACCCCGAAGGACTTTCTATTTCTGTATCTCTCTTCCCCTGTGAACAGCACAGAGCTTACCTGGGCACACACATGGAAGGGACGGGCAGCACATCACTTTACATAAGCTCAGAAGCCCTCAGCTGGGCTGCAACGAGGTGGTAGGTTTGTGGGGTTTTTTTAGCAAAACCTGCCAAAAAAGCATCCCCCTTCCCCAGCACCCTGCTGCTGGTGGGCTGCTCCCAGGGGTGGGCCAGGCTCACAGCCACCAGCTGCAAGGCTGAGGGCCACGCCCTGGCTGCGGGAGACATTTCATCCCTCTTTGTTCTCATCTCTCTGCAGCCTGCTCTGATCCAGCGGGATTGGTGTGGTTTCAGGGGCTGGGAAGGGCGGGGAGCCCAAGTTGTGATGCCAGGACCTGACACAGGCAAGGCTTTCAGAGGGCTCCTGTGACCAGCAATGGTCAAACAGGTCTGCAGGACCCTTGAGAAAAAACTTTGCCTGGGAAGACATTGGCCTCACCCCTTGTAATCTGAAATGTTTCAGTTTCATTGAAGTGTTTGGCCAGAAGAAACCCTAGTAACAGCTCCTGTTTACAGACAGCTCTGCCATGGCAAGCAACACCTCCCAGTCCTTCAGAGTCACCAGTTAGTGACACTGCCAGCCACCTCATGTCCCTGGGGTCCTTCCAGACCATGTCTGACCTCCCAGGCCTCCCTGAGCTTGGAACTATTTAGGAGGGGAGGAGGGAGGGGACTCGGCTTGAAGGGAGCTGAGCTCAGTCTGAGCACAAGTGCTTTGCAAGCTCCCTTCCCAGCAGACAGGTCCACAGAGGCAGATGCTGGAGGACAAAGCATCCCACCGGGTGTGGGCAACTGGAGGTCACCATGAAGGGAAGTCCTGCCTTTAGCAAGGAAACGAAACAAGACAGAGCCACAGCACAGACCCACGTGCCTCGTAGGTGAAAGCAAAGGAAACAGCTTTGTCTGTGCCAAGATGGACCTGCCACTCCTCTTGGTGCAGGGTCACTCAGCCCCAGTGTCCTGACCAAGGCTGGGAGGGGAAGGGGACTATGCCAGACAGCAAAGGGCTCCCAGAGATCACACCACAGAGCAGGGGCAGAAGTGGCAGCTCCTTCCCTGCCCTTGGGAGGCACAGATGTACCCAAAGCTGATGCCAAAAGGTGCTCACAGGTCTCTACTGTGCAACAGCCTCTCTCTGCCACTAGCTAGAGCCTCCAAGGAGCAGAGCTCCTGCCCAGTCCTGCCAGCACTGCTGGGGCCTTTGGACAACAGCAGGATATACAGCTGCTAAATCTGTTTCCCACCTCTACTTCATTTTTGCAGTAGAATAGGTGAAAAAACCCTCTGAAGCAGTGCTCTGATGAGTCACTATAGAAATAGCTATGGGAACATAAAAGACTCTTTTGTGTCACTACAAAGTGCATTATTGGGCTGGTACAGCAGACAGAATAATAGGAAAACTGCAGATCACTTACCCAGCTGCAAAGCACAGAAGTGCCTTGCCCTGAATTCAAGCAGCACAAGTAACCTGGTCCATCCTGGTTTCAAGCTCAAAGGCATCAGGTCGATCCTGCGGGTTAGCAGCCAACATGTCTTTCAAGAGCTGCTTGATCCCCTCAGACATGGAAGTCCTGCGTTTCTGAGGGATGTGCAGCTCCATCTTTGGGTTTTCTAGCAGCGCTTCCCCAACGGGCACAATCTCAGTCCCTTGCTTGATGTAGGTCCCCAGCAGCTCCCTCTTGGTCTCAGCATCGATGAACGTGATCCTCTCAATCATGGCCCAGATGATGATGCCGAGGGCAAAGATGTCAGCCTTGGCAGTGTAGTGTCCCTCCCACACCTCGGGTGCCATGTAGAAATCAGAGCCACAAGCCGAGGACAGCCAGTACTTGTTCACATTCACATTTTTGTTCTCCTTGCCACCCTCCTTGCCTCGAGCAGTCAGGCCAGCACAGACCTTGCTCAGCCCAAAGTCGGCCACCTTGAGCACGGGGGTGCCGGACTTCTCGGTGATCAGGATGTTGTCTGGTTTCAGGTCCCGGTGGACGATGTGGTTCTTGTGCAGGAAGGCGATGGCACTGGTCAGCTGCAGCATGAAGCTCTTGTTGGTTGCTGGGTCAGGTCTTCGTGACAGGATGTACTGGTTGAGGTCTCCTCCTTCACAGAACTCCATGACGAACCAGAGGTAGCACGGCTCCTCCGCGTAGCCCAGGATCCTCTCACCTAACCAAGAGGGACAAAAGCAAGAGTGGGTTTTTCAAACACATTACAAAATGTCCACACTAACCCAGCAGGGGCAAGGAATGGGTCTGGTTTACATGCATAGCAAAGGCTTTAGGACATGATTGGGACCTATGGCAGGGATGCTGGCTATGCTGTGGCCTTGATCCTGTTGAATGTCACACATCAGCACCACGTTCACCTGAGAGCCAGCTCAGGGACCTGTTCCCAGCAAAGCAAGTGAGACCAAGCACTTGTCTTCTTGGCTGCTTGCAGGGAAGCTGAGGGTTACTTTTCCTGTGCTACCATTGGGCAATTCTCCCCAGCCTCTGAAAGCCAAAGCAGCAGAGACGAAAAGCACAAGTAGCAGCAAGTCCATGTGAATAAAAAATAAATCAGTTCTATGTCAATACCAGCTCTCCCACCTGAGCTCTGCTACAGGAGACAAAGGCTTGTACCTTGCACTTCACTAGTGTAACTGCAAGTGAGGAGTAAATCACAGCCCTTGCCCATTGCAGTCACACCAGCATCAATGCCTGGCTCTTCTTGGACTCAAAATTGTGGTTTTACACATTATGTTTGTGCTAGGGAATCTCTGCCGCTCTATAACTGCCTTTAAGTGCCCACAAGCCTTGAAAAAGAAGAAATTGGAGGCTAAAGTATTAGATTGGCTAATGGGGCCGGGTCTGTTGCCAGTGCTCCCGAGGGCATTGCAACACCAGGCCAGGATGCCCTGGGAAGCAACAGCAACAGACCCTGTCCCATTTGCTGATGTAAATCACTCCATCAGACCCCACATCACCTTCACAGAGCACCCAGGTGACAGGCAGAGCCTGCACACACAACCACACCATCATTTTACTCTAAGGACTATTTTTTTCCCCCCCCCTCAAGCACCAGAAGGGAGAAGCTGGAGGACACCACTCACCCCTGCCACAGTTAACAAGTCACCCAGACGAAGCCCAGTGTTTTGAAAGCAGTTTGGTAGCTCCACCCATGTGACAAAGTTGGGTTTTGTTTTAGCAAAGCTTGAGAGAGCATCTGGGAAAACAAACTTCCAGCAGCAGGTAAAGCCAAGGAACCACCAGGGCTGCTCTGGTCAGTGATCAGTGTGGGTGGGAATATTGGTTATTTGTACAAACAGTCTGTAGCCATAGCTACTGCCATGGAAATGAAAGCCTGCACAACAGCAGGATTTGGCTGCACCTCCCTGCCCTCAGCAGATGAAGGTTAGGTCTGGGGGATGGGAGGGACCACAAACAGGCTGGTGATACAGGGCACTGGGTACACTTGAAAGGGCCAAATGAGACCCCCAAAGCACTGAGCCTGTGAGCCCAAGGGAGCAGCACAGGATGGCTTGGCTCTGGAAACCCCAATGCTGACCAGAAGCAGCAGCTTCTCTGGTACAAGTCATCCTTTGGTGAGAAGAGCATGGCAGCATGGAAACTGAAGCAAAAGCTGCTCATCCAGGGAGCAGAGACCTTTACACAGCCTGAACAGCCCAGCTCACACCACTGCCACCCCCCCAGGTTTGCTAAACCCCAGCAACATCACAGCACAGATCCAGGCTTTGCTTTCCTGCCCCCCTCAGCATCCACACAGCCCAAACATGGCAAAACAGGGGGTTTGGCTCTTCCCAGCCAGGAATGGGGAGCACTGCAGAGCCCCACTGCCCATCACACACAACCAGGACCATTGACACAGCAGTGCTGCCCACACCCCCTTCCTGCAGGGAAGCCACTCAAACACCCGCTCACCAGCAGCCAGGACCTGCTGGCTCTGACAAGCCAAGGTTTGTTTTCAGCAAAAAAAATAATAAAACTTTAAAACTTGGCTCCTGAACCTCAGAGAGAGCAGGGAGGATGCTGCTGACCCTGCAGTAGCTGAGAGCCCCGTGCACTTCACTTTGGGTGGAGCACTGCTAGGAGATGCTCAAGCCAAGAGGAATTATTTCCTCATTTTCTTTCTATAATCTGAAAGTGTTTTAGTCCTTAAATCATCTTCCTGCCTTCAAAACAAACAGCTTTAAACATAAAGAAGCTGGCAAGCCCCTTCCTACAGACCAGATGCTAGGTCAAGCAGGACCTGATCTCCATCATGAAGTGAGCATCCCTGCATGGGGATGGCACAGGGCAGCCCTCCCACCACCCACCCAGGGAGCTCGTTAACAGCTTGGCTAATTTGCTTGGCATCAGAGGAAATAAATCTTATGAAAACAGAAGCAGCATCTCCCTTCCCACTGCAACCCTTGACTGCCTCTGTGCAAAGAGGCTGTGCTGGGGTGCTTGGACCGATGGAAACATGGGTGGACAATCCCAGGGCAGCCCAGGAGTGAGGCTGAGCACTGGTGGCAAGTTGGTGGTTCCACAAGTGCCAACAGCTTATACCCGTTCACTTAGTAAGGCAGCTCTGCCACTAAGGGTTAGGAACAAGGGGGGCATGTGCAGAAGTCCTGAAGGTGGTGAGGCCACACCTGGAGTATTGCATACAGCTCTGGAGCCCTCAGCACAGGCAAGACATGGAGCTGCTGGTGAGGGTCCAGAGAAAGGCCATAAGGATGATCAAAGGGCTGGAGCAGCTCTGCTATTAAGACATGTTAAGATAATTTTGGGCTACTCAGCCTGGAGAAGAGGAGATTCTGGGAGACCTTATAGCACTTTCCAGTACCTGAAGGAGCTACAGGAAAGCTGGGGAGGGGCTTTTCACCAGAGAGGGCAGTGATAGGACACGGGGTGATGGTTTTAAAAAGAAAGAGGGGAAATTCAGGTTAGACATCAGGAATAAATTCTTCACCATGGGGGTAGGAAGGCACTGGAACAGGTTGCTCAGGGAAGCTGTGGCTGCCCCATCCCTGGCAGTGTTGAAGAGCAGGTTGGATGGGGCTTGGAGCAGCCTGGGCTGGTGGGAGGTGTCCCTGCTCATAGCAAGGAAGTTGGAATCTGGTGATCTTTAAGGTCCTTTCCATTCTGTATCTATGATGAAGGTGCACGTGTACCAGGGCACATAGCTTGAGTCCGTGCCCCTCCTCCAGGCTCAGTGCTGGCCTTCCAGCTTCCTTTCCATTTATTATCCCACATCTTGTTAAGCTGATGGAACCTTTGGGCTCCACAGCGCAGCCGAGACCCAGCGCTGCCCAGCACCCTGACACTTGTGCTCCTGACTCAGGAAGTCTCGGGTTAATCCCCCCCTGCCGAGCCCCGAGCCTGGCGCGGGCACAGCATCTGTGCGGGCCTGTAAATAGCCGCGCTGCGGGCGTGCGGCGGGGCACGGGCACTGGCAGGGCACGGGCACTGCCCAGACCCCCGCTCCGCACCACCTGCCGGCAGCCGGGATGGAAGGTGAGCAGAGCTGGGGGCTCATCCAGCCCGGTATTCCCTGTTGGGAATATTTCCTGGTGCCTTATCAAGAGCCAAAAGCTCGGGAAGGCAGCGAGCGCAGCCCCTGCCCCAGCACAGCCTGGAGGGCAGGAAGGGGGCAGGTGGTGGGGAGAGAGAGCAACGTGCTCGGGTCTGGGGAGCCAAACTGCTGCTTGGGATGGAGAGCCCAGCTCTGCTCACCTCGCAGGGGCTGCTGCAGGAGCAGGGCAGGCAGGGCTCTTCCTACAGCAGGGAAGTTGGGGGAACACCCACAGCTACCCAAGAGCTTTCCCTGAGCCCACCTTGGGGCATGGCAAAGTGGGGCAGGAACCCCAAAACTGCAAGGAAGAGCTTGACTTGCTACAACTGGACAGGCACCCGAAGAGAAGAGCTGGCTCCTCTCCCATGAGTCATACACACAAGAGCATGCAAAGGAAGCACCAGGCTATCCAGAAATCAGGACACTGCCCTTCTTGGGGAGTGGCTGTGCTTGGAGTGTGAAGGGAGAGTGGGATCAGGGCTGCACAGGAGAGAGGCAAGCAGGTCTGGGCATGTCCCACCAGGAGCACAGAGGGGACAGGCAGAACAGGGCAGTTCAAGAATGAGAGGTTTGCCCAGAGGATGGGTCTCAGCAGCCTTGCATGAAGCCTGGCGCAGGGTTTGGAGGCTGCACTGGGAGGCTGAGCTCCCCCAGGAGTGTACAGGAGCCCTAGCACACAAATTTGAGGAGGGGAGGGTCGGGGTGAGCTGGCTCTGGCTGCAGCAGCCTGGGGGACACAGGGGAATCAAGGATACAGGGCTCCAGTATTTTTCCACATCTTCACTGCATGTTGGCAGAGCTGGGTCTGACAGGGAGCCAAGGGAGTAGGGAGGGAGCATTTTGGAGATGTCACCATCACAGTCATCAGCTGTGGCAGAAGGTGACCCCTGACAGCCCCATGATGCTGCTGAGGGACCCCAAGGGAATGGGGGGAGGGATGACAGCCCTGGCTCCAGGCACTGGCACTTGCAAGGGCTGTACCCATGGAACCAGCACTTGGGAGGGGACAGGACGGCACAAAGAATGGTCCCAAAGTTCCAAGAGCTCAAGGACTCAGGGCAGCATGAGGGGCTGCAGCCTCTGGGTGCTCAGAGGTGATGGGACTGTGCATGGGGCAGAGAGGGTCTGAGTCTGGAAGTGACAAGGGGGTCCCCCACGAGTAGGGGACACTGAGCTGGGGTGCTGCAGAGGTGCAGAGCACAGGGAGGGACCCCATGGGCTGGACACTGGGTGCCAAGGCACAGGGTGGAGGCTGAGGGAAGAGTGTCCCTGTGAAAAGCACACAGGGGAAGGGGCAAGAGGAGAGGGGACAGATGGGCACAGCCCAGTGGCACAGCCTGGGGCAGGGGCCAGGCCAGGGGGTGCTGGGCAGGTGTCCCAGAGAGTGCTGGGGGTGTGTAGCAGCAAAGAGGGATGCTGGGGGCACCTGAGGGGCTCTAGAGGGGCCCTGCAGGGACAGGACCAAGGAGGGTGATGCCTGAGGCAGGTACTGCTGCAGTACAGAGAGACCCCAGGGCTGGCAGGGGTCACACAGGGAACATGGAGTGCAGCAGGGGGACCTGGGGGGTGGTAAAAAAGTGAGTTAAGGTGGAGGGAAGGGGGTTACA